ATAGACATACTTTGATTGTTAAGTGATTGTACTCACCCTTCTCTTTTAATATTCACAAGCTTTAACTCGAATGAGGATTAAGGAAAAGATTTTGGATGCCTATGAATTTGAGTATTCCTATTGTAAAGCCTCCTAACTTCATTTTTTGTGTAATAGATAGTATATATCACCAATTAGGATGAATTTTATATTCACTTACATTACGTTGTTGTTTATGATCTTGATATGTATTTTGGGCCGTAGAATGTTGTATGCAAGTTGGTTAAGTATTGATAGGGCCAAAATACTAGTACAATTATAGGGAATATTGTTATATTATTGAATTTGAAATCTAATGATTTGTGTAATGCTAAAACCTCCCTATTTTGTTTTTGGTATTAAAGGAGTTGGGAAGTGAAAATTTGGTATTGTTGAGATTATATGCATGTGGTTTGTTGTACAGGTAATCTTAAGTTCATTGAGTGTATTTTGGGTGTTAGTAGTGGCCTTTGGCACATATCAAGGGTTTTGGACACCTCTGAATTGTGAAAAGTTGTAAAAATGTGTTTGGATATCCACCTTTATTATGTAATAAAACTTAGAAGTAAAATCCATGTCATTAGTTAGTTTATGAAAAGAGCTTTCTATAGACACCTAGATAACCTCATTCAGATGACAAATGGAGAAATGAGGAGTGTCGAAAGTTGCCCCAAGTTGATGTCATTTGAAAGTAAAATTCTATATAATAACATGCAAGGCGCCAACACGCCCCGGTATATGGCACCTACTTCACAGATTGTGGCACAGAGGAGGACAGCTACAACATGCCACCCTATTTTTCACTCCTTGATATTTTATAATTGATTTTAGAGTCCTTTGAATCCCATAAAATATCTCATGCTTCCAAAATAATATCTTACTCTGATTTGAGGTTTATTGAATAATATTTAAAAAGCTTCATAGGCTTATATGATAGTTTTGAGGGTCTCTAACTAAATGCGGTACTGCTTATTCCTACTAATATGTTAAGTCTTATGTTTTCTTCTTTGACGATTTTGAGGTCGTCAAAATCACAAGCTTTAACTTCAAGGTGATGGGTTTCTTCTTCACGATACTATATTACATTGCTATAAGGAGTTCACAGTTGCTAATTGCTCTTGTCTCTGTTTCTTGTTATGATTTTGGTGCTTCAGCTGTCTCTAACCTATTAACTTTAAATTCCATCATTTATGTCTTGTTGTTAGTTTCTTAAGAGTATTTCAAACCCTATAGGCTATTTCAGGGTGCCTTTCCTTGCCACCTTTATTATTGGTTAATGTAGCTAATGGAATAGAGCTTCTTCAAAATTGAGATGATTATCAAAACAAGTTGGCTCAAATTAGATACAGCTCTTGCATTGATCCATTTAGGACTTTCTATTATCATCTATTTCAATGCTGGTCAGATGTTAGTTTGGTTTGTTCTTTTTCCTTTTATTATTTTATGCTTGTCTTGTGTAATATTCTTAGGACTCAAAAGCCAAATTAACCTTATTTGATTTTGATTTGGGTTGTTTATTATGTATTTCATTTTGTTTTAATGAATTTGATCTTTTTTAAAAAATGATAATAATTATATTTTTTTCAAATAATTTTTTATACATTTTTCAAAAAATTACTTGTAAAAATTTTCCAGGTCGATTGGTATAGGACTAGCCTAAATTGCACATTAAGTGGGGCAATGGGCAAGGATAATACCAAGTTTGACTCTCTCCACGTGCATCCTTAAATATGTCTATGCATAAATCTAGAGATAAACGTTCCTATATGATCCCTAAGGAAACTACCACATCTTCCTTTTTTCAAAACTGGCGAAAGCTAAGCTTTTTTTGTTTATCATTTATTGCAACAAAGTAGTTATTATATAAACCATTATGGTGTTTCAACTATCAATAATTTCCAATCGCCAAAGCTTTGGCTGACACTATTGTAATCAATTTTTTTCTAATGTAATTGCCTTAAAAAATTATAGTAGAAAATGATTCAATACTTCAAAATAGGGCTTTTTTTACCTGTGTGCTATAAACAGTAAAAAAAATTATCTAAATGCTATACCATTGAACGTATTTATCCAAATATTATACTAAAAATCATTCAAATCAAAACGACTTTATATTTGTGAAGAATTCATTCAGGCCAAGAATAATTTCACATTGAAAATTAAAAGGTGAAAAGTAAATGAGCTCAGGTTTTTCTGACTAAAAAGACATAATATTCTTTACTTTAGTTTCTCTTAACCTACTCTACCAAGAGTTATGTTATCTCATCCACAAATTTCTCTAAATAGACTGAGCAAGCGATGTAGTGGTTGCTTGTCTACCTAACCACCAATTGAAAACAAAAATGTAGGGGAACAAGATCCTTAAGATTTTAGTCACTCTCATTACATGCCAGCCTCATCATTATCATCACCCCTTTTCACCTTTCACAATCCTACTCAATTTAAGTGTCATTATATGCCACCCTCATCATCATCCTTTTTAAACTTATCCACTTCTACTTAATTTAGATCGTTCATATTTTTACTTGATGATCCTGTACTATTTTCGGCTGAATAAAACATTTATACTTTTGAATGATCTAAATAGTGTGGGATTATTAAATTAAGACATGAACAATCCAAATACTCTGGCATGTAATGAGATTGACTAAAATTTTGAGGGTCTTATTCCCCTACATTTTCATTTTGAATTGGTAGTTGTGTGGACAAGTTGTAACATTCCAAAGAGTTTTCTTATGATTTATTAAGCTAATGAAAGGTAATTATGTATATTTAAGTATAATCAAATTTGAGGATAGCTAGAAATGATTAATAGGCCTATTAGGTTTGGCTTTAGTCTTTGGATTGAATTTAGAAGTGAATTGGGTTATCTGAGTTCAAATTGTAGAGAGAAAAATTAGATTTTAGCCCATTGTCCATTATGCTGCAGCATAAAAATTTACTTTGCAACAAAATTTACAAAACTAGTTTTTTTTTTTAAATGCGAAACCAGCCCAAAACAGAGAAAGACACTATAAAACAAAGAGCAGGCAACAAAGAGACCATTTTCTCTACTATGGCATTAACTTTTAGGCATTTTAGAGTAACTGAAACTTAATTTCATCTAGGTATACCTTCTTTATCTTTTCTTCTTCTCTCTACATATTTTGGAAGTGAGATTTGAGGTTGAGAGATAAGAATTTTTGAACCTAGGGCTATGGGTCCAAACCCATTAATCTAAATGAGACTTATAAGAGTTATTTAAGTATTCCACACATAGTCTAGAAGTTTTTATAATGAGCTTAGGTCATCCATTTTGGATGAACCCTAGACCTCCAAAGTGTGATTTTGAATTATTAGGTGTTATATTAGTGATTGGTAATTATTTAAGTTAATGGAAGCTAAATGGAGTTAATGGATTAAATAAACCTAATGGTTATGTTTAAGTGTAAGAGATTGGAACTTTGAGTAATTAAAGTATTGATAATAGAAGTTAAAATAGTGTTTTTGAGGATTGGTATGATTAATTGTAAATTTTACGCCCTAGGTTGTATATGAAACCTAATTAAGGCCAAAATACTTGTGCAAGTAAGAAATGAGTATATTTGTGACTGATGGTGATTTAGATGTGGAATTACATGATTGAGACTTCCCTGACATTTTTTAGATTAAAGGGTTGAGTATTGAAAATGTGTTATATATGTTATGTTGTAGTGTGTTGCACATGTCTTATTGAGCTATTGAGTGTGGTCTAAGGGTGGTTATGAGCTTATGGGACTTGGTTGTGATTTTAAACACCTTAATTATCTTTTCAAAGCATAAATGAGTGAATTTTCATTTTGATATCCAACTTTTGATTAAGAAATGAATTGAATGTGAAACCAGTGCTATTAGATAAAGCTCAGACAAAGCTTTATGTAAATACCTATATCACCTTAATCAGACATCGAATGAAGAAATGTGGCGTGTTGGAAGTTTGGCTAAAAAATCTGTCATGATAGTATTGTCATGGGTTCTGCATGTTATTCCGCCACACAAAATTTTATGTCACGACGTATTGTGCCAAAATCACTATTTTTGCTCTTTTGATCCTAATTTAATGTTATCTTACCTCATATAGTATCCATGTTTTAGTATACATGTCTTTAATTTTAATTTATGAAAGGATTTTATAACATTCTAAGTTTTGAAAACTTAAAATCTCATTTATGTAAAATTTACAAGCTTAGTAATTTACATGAATTAGTCTCGTGATTATCTTGATTTTGAAATTAATTGTGGATTAGTAAAGAAAATCTTGTACAAGTAGCTACCATATCGCTTGCTCAATTTATCTTAAGAAATTTGTATATGAGACAACTTAACTCTTGATGAAGTAAGCTGAGAAAAAATAGAATAAAAAATATTATATCGTCAAAAAAAAACTAAACTAGCTTATTCACTAAGGAATGGTTTCACTTTTTGTTAAAAAAATAATAATTTTTAATTGCAAAATTATTCTTAACTTGACCAAGTTCTTCACAAATAAAAACTCGTCCTGGGTTTGAATGATTTTTAATATAGTATTTGGATAAATACTTTCCACTTTGCAGCATTGAAGTGATTTATTTTACCGTTTACAAAGTACAGGCAAAAAAGCCTCGAAAGAGTTGTCCCAATTCGCAATCTTTTGCTATTATTGGAGAATGTTCGCGTCATTTTCACTTAAATATAGTTAGAATAAGATAAAATATCACTTGATATTCCAGCTGACAAATCTTGCAATGAGTGGACAGATTTCTTTCCACTTCTTTTCCATTGAGAAAGACCCCTTAAACAGTACTCATATTCTTTTATGATTAATCTCATAATTGTTGATTAAAAAAAAAAGAATAGTGCCTTTAATTTAAGGAAAGTTAGCCTTCACCTTACTGTATTAATTATTTTTAATATAAATTATGAAGGGTAATTTAAAAAATTTATAATAAATATTTATTGAGATATATAATTTTGGTTCTAAAAAAATACAAATTAAAAAAAATGACAGTTTCTCTGGCAAAATAAAAATAGAGGGAGTACCATCAATCAACTTGACGAGAAGCTCGTATTTGCATTCACGCGGCTACTCTGACTTCCTCATCGTGCGGTCTTCATTAGCTACGAGAATTATCAGCAGAGAAGAAGAAATATTCGAGGTTACAGTTGCAACCAGAAAAACAATATCCAAATGGTAGCATAGGCACGATAACCAGCCTTAATCCCTTGCCTCGGTTAAAAATACGTGAAATCGAAGTAAATAATACCCATTATTTATTTTTATCACACCTTTAGAATCTCTTCATCCACAATCCAAATGTTAAACCCTCGAGAATCTCACCCACTTGCCTTTGAGATCTTAATCTAATTAGCATTTTAAGATCTCCATTTATGGATGAAACAAACTCGTAAAGTCCAAAAGAGAATGGACAAAATAGGACCGCTATCAAAGGAGAAACCGGATGAAGCCAAATCGTCCATTTGACCTAAAAATCTCGATTATTGACACATCCCAAGCTTTATCTTTAACACAGCATGCATTTGACAAACAAGACGAACCCGCCTCTGATCGGCCCCAGTGCAATATAACAAAAGACAAAGTAACAATAGAAAACTTTCCAGTTGTCCCTTTCTGACGATTTCAGATTCAAATATCAAAAGATTAAATCTTAAGGTGACGGGGTAGAACCTTTATCTTCGATGTTACTGCAATAGTGGCCATTACTGCTAAAGTTCCTGCAAAGCACCTTGCACTTAACCACACTACCGTAGACATAAAAACCCGGTGAAATCATTATCCGGACCACGCTTGGGACTAACTTGGCACCTTTGTCTCCGCTCATGTCATCCATGTAAGCTGAATCAAACCTCACTCCTTTGTCCACTCTGAAAATAGGCAAGCTTGGGTGGACCGAGTTGGCCAGCAAGTGCACCAGCCAGACGCTCTTGGATGCGCTGAAGAAAGCTTGCAAGAGTGGCTCTGGCCAAGCTCTGTTCCAACCCAACATTGCCACTATTTCACTCATTTTCCTATCACAGAATCTGCTGAACTCTTCGCTGAAGTGTCTCGTCCCCTTGCTGAGCACCTCTTCCCATGTCAACCCATGAAGCATGTTAAAGGACGCGAAGTTTGCCTCGCATCGTTCCTCTGGGTTCAGTATGGAATTCGACGCGTTCTTTTGGAACCCCACTGATTCAAAGTCCTCGAAGAAAGCTTTATTTAACAGGGCTTCTAAGTAGAAAAGCAAGCTCCTCGAGTTGTTCGAGAACGAGATTTTAATATCGTAAGGCTGGAGAAGAAAGGATACTCTCTCGTACACTTTGCCTCCCATGTGCCTTAGTTGCATAACGAGAGCGCGGCTTAGGTACCTTACCGAAGACCGGGCTTCCGATAGTGCGACCATAAAGTGCTCGAGTACGTCGTTTTCATGGGAATTTTGGGCCTTAGCCAATCTGTACGGCGAATTGTTACTGCAGTCGTCGAGCCCAGATTTTAGTTTGTGGCAATACACCTCTAGTTTGTTCAGTTTCTTCTCTAATTCAGCCATGGAGTATTTGAGCCTATAAGATTCTGAAATAGCCTCGTCTCTTTTCCTAGTAGCTTGAATCAACTTGTGTGAGAGTTCCGACAGCGCAGTTTTCCACTGTTCCTCTCTGGCTGTTGACAAAGCCTTGGGGGACTTTGGACTCTTGCGCGCAAGCGATGAAAATATGGACTTGAAAATCCCGTTTGGGCTTGCCAATATTGGCGAATGCTTGTTTGGCCCATTGTTATCTAAGGGAACGACGGAAATTTTCTCACGAGAATGTGGGCGGCAGTTGCTGCACGAGACGGAGCCATCTTCTCCGTCGATGGACCACACAGATTCAGACCGTTTCTTGTGAACGGGTTTGCAAACTTTGTCGGTCTGGGGGAAGGGGGTTGGAGGATGATGCTTTGGAGTTAGACCTTTATCAACACTTGGGGTTGCTCTGCTCTGGCTTCTGTCCACACGATACTCATCTTCCTCCTGTTCTTGAATCTGCAATAAACGGAAAAACGCCGTCGGACAAGTTAAAATAGAACAGAATGCACATGATAGATTCCAAACAGACTAGACATCCCCCCCCGACAATTATTTTCTAGGGAAACAAAAAGGGGATGGCGAGAGGGAAAGCTTATTGTACTCACAGCGGCGAATATCGGAGGAGGGCGAGATGGCGGAGGAGGTGACGAGGGAGACTTGGAAGAAGAAGGAGAACAGGACGAAGGAGCCATTTCGTTATGTTATGGCATTTCTTGGTTGGTGCTTTTATCTGCAATAAGCAGGGGTCAATGCGAAGAGGGACGCGTGACGCGTATGTTATTTAAACTGTAATCGTGAGCACAAGCGTTCTGCTTTTGTCCGTTATCAGTGTCTTTCATTTTCTACGTGGCAATTTCGTCGGCACGTAATCATGATCCCGAGCGAGTGACAGGAGGGCAGGTTCTCCCAACTGCGAAAGGGCTGATTTAATTTTAGTCTATAGCGGTTCCTTAGGAATCTCTCTAAAGCCAAGCCCGGTCAATCGTCTGACCCCATTTCGAAAACTTCATGAGTGTGCTTCACAAAATAATAAATATTAGGTGTGTCGAGGGTGCTAAGTTCTAAATATAATAATTGAATCCTTGAATTTTCTTACTTCAATTCATATGAATGTAAAGATATAAAGAGATTAAAAAAAAGCATTTTCTGATTAATGGAAATAAAAAACACAAAGTTGTGTTGATTGCAATTTGAAATTGGAAATAATTCTACTTAAACTGTGGATACAAAGATAAATAACTTGAAAACAAATCAGTTATGCTGAATAGTGATAAGGACATTGATGATATCTTTCAATTGTTAGCTTGAAATCTTTTATAAGCGCTCAACTGGTACCATTACACTTGCAAGATTTGGAACTTGTGAGCAAATATCAATAACCATTTGGCATGGTCCAACAAGATTCATGGCACATCAAATTATGATGTCATGTTTACTTAAAAGTTCTTAATGTTCAATCATTCCGAATTTTGAAGTTCATGCTAAACACCTACATGGCATGACTCTTATCTTGAAAAAGAGTCAGGCTTTGTTTCTGCTTGAATCTTGGGCCTGTCGTTTTGCCTAGTTTTCTTTCCATGATTTGGGCGCACGTTTCATTTCAAACTCAAACAAGAAGCAACTTGTGTTCAGCAAGTTGGAACATAGAATATAGGGTGGTTTTGATCACAATTAACGGGGTAAGCATGATCCCTTTTTTGTCGAAGCAAGCTTTACAAGCGGGTAATGAAAGCCCCCAAGAAAGGGAATGTTAAAAAGGACAAGCGAAGTGAAGAGGCAACTGGGCAAGACAAAGAAGCGTGTAATGGCTGGAGAAGCAGAGAAATGGTGGAGTAAGTCAACCAGAGTTGTGCAGTTGAATGCGATGTGCGGAGTGGGGGCATTTAATTCTCGCAATATATGAGTGATGGAGGGCAGCTTCAACTATAATGGCTTGCAACATTTATTCCGATTACGGTGCATCGTGACTAGCGGGTCGGTGGAATCGTACGCAGCGGGGATAGCCCAGACCAGGAGGGACGTGATTAATGCATGTGAAGGTTTTAAATAAGAGTGAGGCAGTGAGCAATGAGGATGGGGCCGGGTGGTCCATCCCATTCCCGGTCTGCACTCTGCACTGTGCCAGCTAAGTTGGCCGCTGACTCGTGTCATGCAGATTTATCTCTCTCTAGGAATCACGTGCAGGTGTCCCCACCTCCTCCACTGTGAGTTACTGACACATACTGTTGCTGCTTCTCCCCAGCTGAGGTTCGTTCGTGCCACTCGCCGACGACCCGCCCCCGTGCGATCCCACCAACCCTCGAATGCACAGGTTATGATAATTAACTAAAAAAACAAAAAATGGAGTTGACATATGAAATGGATTAATACTAGTAACAATTAATCCAACGCACTTAAAATATTATAATAATTTTAAAATGAACTGTATCATTGCTATACGCACAGTACAACATCCATCCGAAAGGTCATGGACAAAAATATGAGATGCGTGCCTTGAATTCAGCACTTAACACGAATCCTCTGACCAAATAACGGAGGGCGAGCAGGCATGTTTCACCCGAGAGAGAGAGAAAAAAAATGTGAGGAGGCGAGAAAACGATGAAACGAACAAAAGCCCCCGTGCATTTCCATGGACCAGTGCAGTGTGTAGCATCCGTCATTGGAGCTGCCAGCCTGCAAGTTGATTTCACGTGAACTTTCAGTCTGCTGAAGATATAACGATTTTAAAGTTAATCATAAACTCTCGAAATATAAGAACTAGGAGGTTTTTGCGTATAGTATTTATTAACTGTAGATGTAGATAGTCATTTGGATTTTAGCATAAAAAAGTACAATTATAGCTAATCCACGCCGTTAACGAGGCCATTCTTGGATTGGCCTAAAACGAGGCCAATTATTCACCCCAAAAAAAAAAAAACGCGACAAACGGGTAAAATTGCTAGCGTCTGGTCAGAATTGAGAGGAGAAAGACGCATCCCATTGTCGTCCAGTTTGGCTCGTCGGAATTAGCTCGATCCCACAAAAGATGGAAATCCATAACCCCTGCAGAGGCGTAAACTGAAAAAGTATTGCCTCCACCGTAGATGGACCAATCTGGAGGACCTACCATGGGGTGGAACGTTTTCAGGTTCTGTACGGTACTGCGCGCTCTTGGTTCCGTCATGATCATATTGGTCCTCGGCCTTGTCGGCTTCACTTACTACGCTGTCGTCTTGGCTGATTACGGACCTGCTCTATTCTATGGCGGCCTTGATTCCTTCACATCTCTTGCTGTCTTGGTTCTTTTCCATGCTTTGGTATTTCTTCTTCATCCACATTATAAGACACTGTGATGATTGGGAAAACTGAATTTCCTCCATCTTTAATCGGTGTCTGTATATTATATTGATTTGTGTCATCTTTGATGCTTTGATACATTGAGCGGTAACTATATAATAGACTTTGGTTATCTTATATCTTGACAATTCCTAAGAATTTATCCATCACTAATTAACCAAAGACTGTCCTGGTTTGCTCCTTGCCTTTTGAAACTCTATTTATCAAAATTCTGAATATAGGGACTCACTATCTCCGATATACAGTTGTTTTCATCAGAATTAAATATCAGCATACATCAGAACCGAGATCCTTGCTGAAAATTCGAAACAGAATTTAGAAATTATATTCCAGTACTTGTATGCCATCGATTGGGTTTTTTGGAAGGAGTTTAAGCTACATTTCACTCCCAAAGAGAATGGAATGGGAATTTTGCTCCCTTTTAAATTAACAAAAGGTTAATTCTGGATAAAAATGGAATTACTTTGATGACATGACAATGAATTTCATTAATTTTATGGCCTCTGTAGCTGGTGATGCTGTTGTGGAGCTACTTTTCTGTTGTTCTAACTGATCCTGGGGGTGTCCCACCAAATTGGAGGCCAAAAATTGACGAGGAAAGATGTGATGCAGATCCATTGGTGGAGTCAGCGCATATTGGCCCAGCTTTAGCTTCACACGATTTTGGTGAATCAGCAAATCAAAATAAACGGTATTGTCGAAAGTGCAATCAATTTAAACCTCCTCGTAGCCATCATTGTTCTGTTTGTGAGTTCTTTTCTCTGACATTTACGCTCCTGGTTATATTTTTGGGTGAACGATGACAAAGGCTTGATTTTAGGCGGGAGATGTATCTTGAAGATGGACCACCACTGCATTTGGGTTGTAAATTGTGTGGGCGCATTGAACTACAAGTATTTTCTTCTTTTCCTGGTATGTAACCACGTCTTCAAAAGTAAAGTGGCCTATCTATTTCCTGTATTTTTTTACTCCTGCAGTGAGGAGAACCTTTTTTTTTTTTCCAATATTTAACTCCATTGCTTTGGTAGAGAGATATATAGAAGACCAAGGAAATTGAAGAATTGAGCTATAATTTATATGGTAAGCATATTGCAAATAAGTAATCTTTTTATGTCATTAATTGACTTGGTAGAGAAGCATGTAGAAGTTCAAGGAAATTGAAGAATTGAGCTATAATTTATTAGATAAGCAAGCTGCAGGTAAGCAGCCTTGTTCTCATTGATCGTTTCATTAATATCACACTGTTTTGCAGTATTTGAATAGGAGTATATGAGTCATGTTATGTTGGGTGATTTCAAACATCTCAAGCAATCAAAACAATGCATTAGTTTTAGGCTGATCATGCGGTGGCACTACATAACGAACCCTGCATATGTCCTAAATTTTGTGGACTCCAATTGGTGGAAACTATCTTGCATCTAATCATATAAGGGGCACATGATCTCACAGGCAAAAACAATAACTTTTTCTTCCACCGTTTTGGCTGAAACTTTGTCAAAGCTTCCTGTCCAAGAACACTTTTAAGTGGTTTATTGATAGGTCATTATACCTGTCTGTTGTCTCATCTTATTGCTAAACTAGTATAATTACTGGGGGACAATTGAAGAGGATTGATTATGTGGCAAAGTAGATTAGGGCTAACTTATCTACCGCAAAACTTTCTTGCAGTTCTACACATTTCTTGAGACAACTCTTGTCACTTTATCATTATTGCCATATTTTATGGCATTCTTTTCTGATATTGAGATTGCTGGAACACCAGCTGGCCTTGCCGCCTCATTTGTTGCATTTGGTGAGTTCTTGAAAGTTGAAAAGTTATTTTTATTTAGTGTATTGCTGTTATTATATTATTGATAATGCTTTTTGTTCTTTGCATTCTCGCATGCAGTTTTGAACTTGGCCTTTGCAGTAAGCATTATGGGATTTATGATCATGCACCTGTTATTCGTTGCATCTAATACAACCACCATAGAGGTGACTTTTTTCCCATTATTTACAATTTTTCTCCAATTTATTTTGCAAGGCTTTTGAACCTATGTTTCAGAATTAAGGTTTTCTTTTATCACTTCAACTTATCAGGCATTTGAGAAGAATACCACTGCAAAGAGGTCTTATGACCTAGGCTGGAGGAGCAACTATGAGCAGGTGACATCTCTTTTTCGCTGTGCAGTGTTTTTTCCAAGGCAGCTTTTCAGCTCTTTATTGTCTTTCTTTGTAACATGCTTTGAATGATCAAAAATACAATCATACTAAGTTGGCTAAGCAGAAATATGATCACAAGAAATAGAGTGCCAGATGGGAAGAGTGGTATTTCAATTCATTTAGTTGATTTCACATTCTCGTAAGCCCTAATTTTATGGCAAAATGAGATGCAAAACTCATTACGTTAATCATACCATAACTGATATTACCATAAAAGGAGCATGACTGAGATCGTGAACTTTGCCTCTCAATTTTCGCATTACAGTAGCTTGGGTGTATCGCAAATCTCAACTTTTGTGACCATTTACATTTTAAGTAGCTGATGTGCTGCTTATCTAGAACACTTTTAGCAGAAATAGACACTAATGCCTAATGGACCCAAGGGCTCAGCCCAGATGTTGTACAGCCTTCCTTTGGTTGGTATCTGTGGCTGGGCTGATCCTGTCCTCATCTCATCTTCCTTTGTTCCATATAGTGAACCAAAAGACAGGCAGCCATCCATTGTTTGGGCACCAACAGTTCATGACTGACTTATCCTATAGCAATATGATGCAGAAAATTCCCATGTTACTGTCGATCAGACAGAAGTAACCATTGGTACACTGATTATCTAACCCCTCTTTGGTATCTTGAACGACATCCATGTATAGCAAGATGACTGAGAGTTGTCAAGGAAGTGATCCAATTGATAATTGGTAATTTGTATACTAGTTAAGCTAGAACTCATCTCTCCATTGTCCCCCTTTTAGTAAAGTTGAAACTCCTCAAATGTGAGATCTGTGTGTTTGTGTGTGTGTGTTCCCCTCCTTTTTGGCTGTTTTGGGATAAAAATAGTCGTATTCTATGGCTTTGGGCATCTTGGATGTTAATAGGGACATGTTATACTCTAACATCCAAGATAATAGGATGTTGATTTATATATCAAACGATTCCTTAATACAACCTCTTGGTCTTATTACTTTCAGATAGGACTTTATTCCATAGTTTCATTCCTTGTTGGCCTTTTAATTGCCAATTTTGTTCTCATCACTTTAAAATCATTGAATTTTAACCTGGAAACAAATCCATGAGTGTTTATAATTTTGTGAAACATGTGGGTGTGGAATAATGCCATGGTAGACATAAGCGTACCTGAATGTATTCATAAACTTAGTCTTTAGGCATTATGTCATGATGCCACATATTTGCCTCAGGTTTTTGGCACTAAAAAAGGGTTCTGGTTGATCCCTGCTTACTCAAGTGAAGATTTAAGACAAATGCCAGCTTTACAGTGTCTTGAGTATCCAAAAGTACCTGATGTGGATGCCCTCCAGCGTTTATAAAAGATGTTGGCAGAATTGAAGTAATTGAAGCCTTGGACGTGGTTGTTTAAGCTATATGTGAACCAGCGCAGTTTAACATGGGACAACGATCTCGCTGATGGTCATGGATTCTTTTTTGTTTTAGGCCACCTATGGTAATGGATTCACTTCGTCCTCTTATGCAGTGATGGCAAATGGGCGGACGCTGAAGGTAGTCCCCACTCCCCTGGTTTCTCGTGCGTCCAATTCCTGCCCATGCGTCATCTGGCTCTGCCTTTTTGAGTGTTTCGAGTGTTTCTGGGTATATTTTTTCGTGTATATGTGTATTATTCACGTCTCAATTCAGAATTTTTGTATGATGTAACATTGATGGCGTAGTGCAAAGGCCTCACCGAAAAAAATTGCGAACTATTTTTTCTTAGCGAGCTAACCCACTAGGAAGGTGGATGTGCTCGGACTTCTTTTGCACAGTTTGAGTTTAATTTATTATTTGTAAGTATGATGCTTTGAGAATTCGCAAGAAAGGAATTGTTGCTGCTTGAGGGCGATATTCTAAAAATTTGATCGGAAGTATCGTGTTGTGATTGACGAAGTTAAATTCGCCTACGTAATTCTGTAAATTTTTATTTTTTGTTGAGCTGGTATAATTATGTTGAGTTGAAGATTATATAAGCAAAATAGTTGTTAATCTTTTTACCTTTCTGCCATAATTGTTATCTTCTTTCTTCTGAATCTTAATTCATTGTGCGTTTGAAGATTTTGATTTAATGTCTTTTTTCTTTTTGCCTGCTATTTATTTGTTATACAACTCAGTATAATTCCATCAAATCACACGAGAAGTAATAGTATTTATGTACATATTAACCCTTGTTAAATTTTTTATAATCATATTTAAAAACATAGAAACTAATATTGCAAATATATGAAATTAAGAGACTTGGAGTAGTGCAAAAAAATTATAAAAACTAATATTAAAATACGCTAAAAATATAAGAACGAGCAATTATTATTTATATCCAAACTTTAAATTCAAGCGTTTCAATTGGCTTTGGCCATCGTCTTAACAAAATTTGTGTAACTCTTATTTTTTATTTATATTTTCTCAGTTTCAAAATTTAAAGCTTTTTGTTGAAAAAATGTGTGAAAATATAATTTTTAATTCCTTTATTTTTTCTAATTATCAATTTAATATTTGAATTTTAATTCAAAACAACTCAATTCTTTATTATTTATTAAGCTGGAACAATTTAGGGATGATATTTTTTTAATGAGTGATTTGACCACCAATAATGTTGAAAATGGGTGGTTTTTACATGAGCATGTCATATTAACATTATTTTTGAGTTTTTTCATTGTATAAATGTGGTTATTATATTGATCATAATATACTCATCAATTATAATTATCATTGTGATATTCAATCAAAGTTTACGTGGCCCTTATTATATTTTTGCTCCTCAATTTTTCATGTATGGATTATTAGAGGTAATTGAAGTGAGGAATCACACAATTGAAGTGAAGAAGATTGTAGAGAACACTGTTATTGGCTTCTTGATGAAGAGCCTCATTCTTTATGTTTGATTTACTTAGAACTCAATTAGTTTTCATCAGTTAATGTTCCATGTAAAATTCAAAATTTTATTTCTTGATATATTAATAACAAAATAAAAGATAATTTATGTGCCATTTTATGTTAATTATAATATAATATAATTTCTCTTCATACATTAAATGTTATGTTTAAATTGTACATGATTCAATTTTAGAAATTGCAATATGGTTTTTTATTTATTAAAATTAAAAGAATTCGAAAGAACTAAAAAAATTCAACATAAATTACTAAATGAAGATGAGCACAATTTGATGTATAAAAAGAAAACTGAATTTGATATTTTATTCAAGTTATTAGAATTAAAATTAAATTTTATAGGTAAAGAAATATATATTATTGGAGCATATATAAAAATATATTCTATTTCAGTATTCTTACGTCACAAATTCGAGAGTAAATATAAATGTGGGTTGTTATGTAACTATATTTTATAAAATTTTATACAAAATTTATTTTTATAGTCAATATCTAAGAAATACATATGTTTAAAATTTTAAGGGGATACAAATAAAATTTTCTTTCAGGAGAAAAGGGGGAAAATATATTTAAAAATTGTAGTTACTATTACTAATATTAAATTATTTATCTGAAAAGATGAAGTTCAAAGCTCTTTAGAAATGATAAAATTCATACATATTATAAATATATATTTTTAAATAAATTTTATTATTCCTAATAATAATAACAATAAAAAATTATGAATAAAAGTTAATTATATGAATGTAAGATTTCTATATTAATATTCTCAATTATAAAATTATAAGTTTTCATTGATTTAGGTTTTTTCCTAAGAAATTATGCTTATTTTATATAAAAGCATATACTCCATTAATCCAAAAAAAATACGGAAAGAAGTCAAAGAACAAAGGAAAATAATAACCGCTAAAAATCCTACCTCAATAAAATCTCCATCGAAACATGTGAATAAATGAAAATGATAACTAGATAGGGAAATATGGAAAATAAGACGAATAAGATTCCTTCAAATAATATTTAATATTTAATAATTTATAATTCATTCCATTTAATTATTAATATTAAAATTTTCTTGATCCCCAATCCCTCAAGTGTTTCTTTTATTAATTAACATTTTCTCGATCTCCAATCATCATTCACTCCGTGGGTGTTAATGTACTTGGAGATTGTGCTATTTTAACCCTTGCTATGTTCCTAATACCTTCATCATCAACTACCACTAAACATATATGAATAGATATGTTCCTTTTAATTTATTAGTAAAAATATTTTACATTGCTCTCTATTTTTTTTATCATTTGATTTAATGTTAAAAATAATATTTGAAAGATTATCAATCTTTTCTTGGCACCCATGACTTCTCCAAGTGATATTTAATAATTCATAATTCATTCCATTTAATTATTGATATTAAATTTTCGTCATCCCTCGTCAATCCCTTGAGTATTCCTTCTATTAATTAAGATTTTCTCAACCTTCAATCATCATTCATTCCCCCGGTCTTCTTTTTGTTCAAATTTACATTGTTATAATTAATGTATTCAGAGATTCGTACTACTTCAATTCTTTCTATACTTTTAATATCTTTATCATCAACTATCGCTTAATAAATATAAAAATATATATTCCTTTTAACTTGTTAGTAAAAATATTTTGTGATGCTTTATCTTTTTTCTTTTTTATGATTTGATTTATTATTAAAAATAATATTTGAAACAATATCAATCATATTTTGATACTCGTGCAGTGTAAGGGCTTATTTTCTAGTCACATTATGAAATTCATCCTTATTGCACCTCATTTTTGCCTTATTGGTCAAATTGATCAATTAAATTCATTATCACACTTTCAATCATCAATCTTACTTAGTTTCTTTATTATTTTTAACTGTTGATCATTGTGCTCCTATCTTTTCATTTTCCATCCACTTATAGTTCCATCCTTCGATAAAGATCTTTATTGCTTTGCCTCTCTTAATGCATTCATTTTTACGTTTATGCTTTCAATGCATTGATCTTTGAGCCCCCAATGACCAAAATGACCAATCATCATTCAAATTTTAAATCCCGAACACCATATCTGCTCGCCCATTCATTCACCTTCAAATTCTAGATTGACTAGTCAGCTATAACAAAGCAATTATTTAAGAGAGTCATTCCCGGGTGTCACCACATTGTTTATTCATTTCCTCCTCATGTTTGAACCCCAAACTCCCATGGTCTTTGGGCCCGTACATACCATTCCAATTTAAAAGGTGGGCTTTCCTCTATCTTTTACCTCACCATACAAAAAGTTATTATGGCACATCTCGCTAACTGACTCATGACGCCTTCTTCCAGATGCTCTTGAACTAGGGGCTATATTACATCAATTTCCAACTATATATCATCCTAGTGATGAATTGGCTTGCCTTTTTTCACCTCCTCCTTTCTATTGCCTTTCCTCATCTCTAATGCATCCTTGTGTACTCAGAATGTTTCAGTAAAGGTCTCTTTTTGCATATAGTAAAGGTCTCTTTTGGGCATCTAGGGAGAGAAAGTGAAGATTTAGTTAGAAAAATTGATAGTCTTGAATTCCAAAAAAGTTTTAACCTGTGTTGGAAATTGATGGTTTCTACATGAGCATGTCACCTTGACATTTTCTTTTCTTTTTTCATTACCGTAAACAAGATTATTATATTTACCATAACATATTCTCCAATTATAATTATCATCCCAATTCTTTGGAGTTCGTGTTCCTTTTTTTTGGGTCTTGAATATGATCAATTTTTTTGGGTATATATGTAATTCTTTACCTAACCACTTCTTTAAGTTCCTTAATACATGGTCCTTGTTATATTTTCTCCCTTAATTTTTATCTATAGATTATTAAAAACAACCGAAGTGAAGTGAGGAGTTACACAATCCAAATAAAGAAATTGTAGAGCTTTGTTCTTTGTTTGATTTGTGAAACATCTTTGTGATACTTGGAACCCAATTAGTTTTTACGAGTGTTAATGTTCCATGTGTAATTCAGTAATGCAAGATTTTATTTTTTTAGATATAAAGGTTAAAGGTAAAAATATTTTTAAAAAATATATAAAAGATCATAAATGACTTCAAAGTTAATTATGGATCATTTATATCTCTTAACTTTAATTTTTTTACTCCATTACTTTATTGTTTTTTCCATCTTTTTTTACATTAGTGGGGCCATATTTACATTTTAAATATTTTTTATTATAAAATATGATATTATGGGTCCCATCAATTTTTTTATAATATAAGAGTTTTTCTCTTCTTCCAGCACAAATTTCTTTTTCTTTCACACCGTCATTGTCAAAGAGCCATTGATAAATAATAATTTTACACTCTTTCAATTTAAAAATATAAAATATTTTTAATATTTTAAGATATAATCATTCTCTTTTTTTAAAAAAAATATCCGTATTAATAATAATTTTATATTTATTATAGAGTATTTAATAGAGGTAAATATGAAAATATAGGGTTAGTTAAAAAGTATGTAACTACTTTATTAAGAGATGAAATTCAATTAAAAATATCTTATATTTTTAAATAGATGAAATATATTTTTATTTTTTAATTTAAACTTTTAAATATTTAATTAAGGCTAATTAAATTTAATTAAATATTATTTTATTTTATTAGCCAATCCTTGATTTTTAGATTTTAACTATTTAAATCTTTAATTTTAGAACATAAATTATATATTTATTATTTTTACATATTTATTATTTAATTTTATTTTATTTGTGTTAATCTTTTAAATTTAATTTAAAAGATATTTATACAAATTATTTTTTATAAAAAATATGAGCATATTTAAAGATTAAATTAAAAATTAAATTTTTAAAATTTTATTTAAATTTATTTTAAGTTTTTTAGTGTAGTTTTTAGTTAAGGATATTAAAAATAATTTTATTTTTTTAATAAATTATTAAATTTTAATTATGAAGAGACGCAGCACATGACGCTACAAAAGACGCGCGACTATTTAAATTGAAAACTGGAGCAGGAGAAAAGAAATCGATTGGCGGCATAAGCGACGCACAGTTTTCAATTGAATGGTGATAGCTCTTTGTCTTTTCTTTTCTGCGAGGATGGCT